AACCTCCCCTCGAGTTCCGACCGATGCCAGACAGTCCCGCTTCTCCTGTTTGAGTCTGGGTCCTCAGAGACTCGCCCAGAACTGGAGATCAGAGCCTGAGTCTCCCTCCAGATTGAAACAAACAACCGTGCCCTCAGCAGCCAGCCCGCTCTGCACGCACCTCTGCACCTTTGTATTTTCTGCACCGCACCTCCTCTGAGTTTCAGTATGCTTTTCTCTTTCCTTCTAGTTGTAGAATTTCCACTCAGCCAGCCTTCCTGTGGTTCTGGATGATGTCCGTTCAGTCTTTTAGTTGTATTTTTGAAGTGGTTGTTCGAGGCAGCAAACTCCAGCGTTAACCTATGCCGCCATCTTGGTTCTGATCTTATAACTGGAATTTTGTACCTTTTGAGCACCTTCATCTAATTCCCCCATCCTCAAATCCTGCCTCTGATAACCACAAACCATTTCTTGTTTTTCTGTGAGTTTGGGTAATTTTTTTAGGTTCCATAAATAAGTAAGATCATATAGTATTTGTCTTCCTCTGACTTATTTCACTTAGCATAATATCCTCAAGGTCTGCTGGGAGCCAGTCCATCCTTGCTGTTTCACGGGACCTGGCATATATGGCATACTGTTCTTAATATGTTTGCTCACCTTCTTGGCACTATGTGTTTTAACCAAGGTAACTAGAGCTGCATTTTGGTGGAGAGTAATGGGAAAGGTTGAAGAAAGAGTAGCTTGCCAGAAGCCGGTCCATCCTTGCTGCTTGCCACAGTCACTACAGGGAAGAAACATCTGCACAGTATATGTTTAAAAGGACCTGGTGTATATGGCATACTGTTCTTAATATGTTTGCTCCCCTTCTTGGTGCTATGTGCTTTTACCAAGGTCACCTCTCCAAGAAAGGTTGTTTCCCCAGGTAGGGATTTTTCCCTGAAGTTAGGGACAGAATAAAACCCCTTAACTAAGTGCTAGGTGGGTAGTTAATCACTTTAACTACGAACAATCACACTTAAGCTACATAATCTTTACTCCCTGGAATGGAGATAAGAAACGCCTTAATCTTTGGAATAGAGATTGATAGGATTGAATCAACTGGTATAAATACAGATGTAACAAGACAACAGGAGACAGAACTTATACAGAACCTAGAGACAGAACTTAGAAGACAGAACTTAGAAGACAGAACCTACACAGAACCTAGAGACAGAAGAACTTCGCTGGAGTGAACATGGCAAAAGATCCTGGACAGAACCTGGCTACAGAACTTGGTTGGAGAACCTAGACAGAACCTGGCTGAAGAACCTGGCTATAGAACCTGGCGAGAGAACGTGGCTGGAGAACCTAGCAAGAGAATGCGGACACAGAACTTGGCTGGAGATAGTGGCTAGAGATCCTGGCAAGGCTGCTGATCAACTGAATGCTGTCTCCATGTCATTCCTTCTTCACCAACTCCGTCCACACCTTTGGGGACCCCTGGACCTGCTGGGGTTGGACCCCGGCAAAGGTCCATTGATATTGTTGCAAAAGGTAGGATTTCCTTCCTTTTTATGGCTGAATAGTTTCCATTCTATCTATCTATGCCACATATTTTATCCATTTACCTATCGACAGACACTAGGTGGTAAAAATGATGGAATTGATATTTTTGAATGGATGAATTTTATAGTATGTGAATTATATCTCAAATGAGCTTTTATAAAAGAAAAGAAGAGATAAGAGAAGGTAGGGGGGATGAAAGGAGGGCGGGAGGGAGGGAGGGATGGGGGGAAGGAGGTAGGAAATGAAGGAGAAAGAAAAATAGTAGTCCACGTACTTATGCAGAGAACGTATGGATCGAAGAAACTAAATTTTAAGAGCTTCTTGATATTTTCCACAAAGGGATCTTGTGGGTTGTTCAGGGAATCAATGTTCACTCCAAATGATGTGCCAGTAATCACATCCATACTGTAGGCCCCAAAAAAGCTGAGTAGAGAAATAGAAAATTAAAATCAGCACCTCCTTACTATCCTTACCAACACATACAATAGGAAGGACACGTAAATTCATATGCCCAGGCAAAGACAGGTAAAGAGCCACACGACTGTCAAAACCATCGGCTGGATCATCTAAAGAATCTATGTTCCTGTCACAGTCAGTCATGAGGTGTTTATTAGATGCCAGTCATGCAACTGGCCCTGTGCTGGGTTCTGGGGACACCAAAGCAAGTTAGACCCACCTGTGAGCAATAGGAGATCAGTCAGAGGGAAGGAGACCCATAATCAGGCAAATTACAGTAGTGTGTTTTGAGCCTGGACAATAGTAGCCATACTGTGCTTGAGCAGGACCCAGGGTAGGTAATGACTCCTCCCAGTGGAGTCAAGAAAGGTGACATTGACAAGGGTCTTGCCTCACCACAGTGTCTATACTCAGAGCTGATTCCGCTTCAGCACCTGACAGAACAGCAGCACCCTGGTCTGAGTTGCCAGGAAT